TCGAAGAGTCATCTGGCACAAGAAAAAGGAATCTCCCCCAATTGAAAGGGAATTGGACACTATAAATCGGAATGTGTAAACAGAATACATGTATGGGGTTTGATAAATCTGACAGATCTACTAATACTAATACTATACGAAAAATGTAATAAGATTTATCGCTGAGAGTAACCTGGGCTTTACATATTAACCCTTTTCACGGTAACCTATTTATATCCCTTTGACCGACAACTGGGTGTAACACACCCGCACGTGTATTATTATACAGTGGGTTCCAAAAGAAACTTGATAATGCAATCACCCATCCATCGGGATAAAGCCTTACACTACTCACTCATACATCATACCTATTGAAACCTTAATAAATTCTGCATCATCTGGCACAATAATATTTCATCTATGTTAAGAGATGCTCGAGATAACAATATGCTCACTTAAAAATCAGGCTTGGCAAAATTGTTCGAAATCACAGAAACGTTGTCTTGGCGAGTGTATTGGGGACCATCAATATTGATAGAATGGACATACATTGCGTATACAATGGATGGAGATTTTGTTTCTCTGCAATAAACAATATTTAATGTCGATAGTTTCAATTTCAAACAAAACAGAAAACAGAGCAATCACAAATACCACAAAAACTTGGACTTAACATTAAATGTGCTCATTGTTATTTTGCGTAGGAGCCACTGGTTTTATGTAGTGCACGAACCCATAGATCATCGACTCTGCTAAATTTTGAACAATTATCAGACGCTTGCAAACGAAGGGTCTTGGGGTTATGTACACGATACGAGTAATTTTCTAGGGGTTTGACTTTCTTTCTATTTTTAAAGGTGATATAGACTAATTACAGACTAATTAGAAGAATCATAACGGAATTTGTCGAGTTTTATGAAAAAGTTGGTCTCTATGGCGGCCATCTTGGATTTTTGGCCATGTTGCGGGGGAAATCGTTTTCCTCAGAAAATATTATAATTTAATCCTCAACCTTTATACACATATTTACAAACAAATGATCTGTGATCATAGACTTTGACTTTTTTCGTTTCATTAAAAACAACAAAAATATTGATATATCATTGGACCAGTGCCGAAAAAACGAGTATGATGAGAAAAAAATCAGGAATATTTTAAAAAGTAATCCGTATTTCACAAAATCCCCGCCTATGATCACAGAACTTTTTATGCGGCACCTGTGTGCCAAATTTCAAGCATGTAGCTCTGATAGTCTTAGAAAAACGATTTCCCCCGCGCGGTCACCATAGTGAAAAGTACTTTTTGAGAAAAACGCAAAAAAAAAGATTGGAAAACGTCAAAGTTAAAAAATCCATTGCCTTGAACGCGATAAATTGAATTTTTTTTTAAACGTTGACACATTTTTCTGATGGAACTTATCAGACTATTGATGCTTCATTTTTTTCTAAAGTTAGCATTCAAAAACAAGTTCTCATGACTACCTTCATTGATCTTTAGTCCCTGCCCTTGACCAGTACAAATCAGAGGAATCATTTAGTGACATTCCGAGATAACGTCAACACACAGTGCGTGCGTGCGTGTGTATGTACATTAATTGTTTATGTGTGTGTATGTATGTATGTGTGCGTGCATGTATGTGCGTATGTGTGTGTGTGTGTGTGTGTGTGTGTGTGTGTGTGTGTGTGTGTGTGTGTGTGTGTGTGTGTGTGTGTGTGTGTGTGAGAGAGAGAGAGAGAGAGAGAGAGAGAGAGAGAGAGAGAGAGAGAGAGAAAGAGAGAGAGTAAAGCGCATCCCAATTATGACGGAATTCAAACAAGTGCTCACATTTTAAAAGCCGTAGACAGCACAGTAAATTAATTTAGCAAAATGAGGACTATACTTGTGGATTTAGTTTTACGAAGTCATAGAAGAGAGCCCCTTTATTCTTACAGAAGTTCTGGGCTGTAAAAGAATGTGCTCTGCGTGGTGGCAGTCACGAGAGACTGTCTCCTTTGCTCGGCGTTGAAACGTGATTTATTACCGTCTGGCACTGCTCTCGCAGATTTTGTCGAGCAAGGTGTTTTATGTTTTGCCTCATTTCACAAAGAAGGGAAAATGTCTGACCACACATCTAATCTTTAAGTCTCTAAGGTAGTCCCATGGTTGGAAGTCCAAGGGCTCAGGTAGGAATACCGTCAAGTTCTGACACAAAGTATCCCGCGACTTTTGTCGAAGTGATTCTGGTTCCACTCAAGAGTCACTCAATGGCCACAGCCGCAGTGTGCAGAGCTGCTACTTCTTGCTTGAACAACTGATGTTTCCGCTCCTGATGTCCCACAACATTTTCTCTGTGATCTTCGCAGCAGATTCAAAATCTTCAGACAACGATCTGCTGTCACTGTTACAGCACCATCGTCTTCAACCATGAACCAACCCTAACCACTAATTCTGTGCTGATTCGATTCAACACACGCTGTAGCATTCTGTGTCCGCAAGTTTCGGTAAACGACGTTGTCGATTTTTTTCTGAACTCCAGTAAATGTGATTTCTTGGGTTCACGTCTCCGTTCAGATAGAAGTGGACTCCATCGCCAAACCACTCTTTCCATGAATGAAAAGGCCTATTATTAGCACGGCACCTCAAAATCGATCGACACATTGTGATCCGTTCCCTGGTGTGTTCACATAAAATACCTTTGTGTACCTAAATGTGACATGCCTTCAAATGGAGATTGTGTCTCAAATTTTCTGTAAACAAAAAGTACGAAAGGTGGAGCTCAACACTCCGACGGCGACGACTACGACGTACTGATGTCTGTGACGTGGTCTCTTCAGAAGGCCGAACGGCGTCAATGTTCTCGGCCTTGCACAAATTTACTGCTATGTCGTTAACCCTTCCTTTGTCGGACACAGACACACATGACAGGTCCTCTTAAAGTCTACATACCGTCCAAGGATAGTTTTGTTTCAGGGAAAATTGCATACCATCTTATTGAGATTTTTGTACATTATGTGAGATGTAATCTACATGTTTCAACTCACTTACTTTCAAGTGTGATACCGATCATGCAACAGTAACTGTCGAGAACTTTTGCTTGAATTGCACCAGAGTTGGGACAACAGATACACATATACACACACACACACACACGTGCGCACACACACACACTGACACACACACACACACACACACAGAGAGAGAGAGAGAGAGAGAGAGAGAGAGAGAGAGAGA